TCATTCAAGCATACTCATACACACATCGTGCCTCGCCCATGATACCTGTTTCACGGAACCCACTGGATCTGTTCAATTGAACGGTGCATTCGCCGCGATACAACTATTGCTTTTCATTTATTCGTAGCGCTAGAATCCGCTGCATGTCAGCTTCTGAAACCTGGGCACAGCCGTATAAAGGAGAAGGAATATTCTCTAGCCTTTTTCAATCAGAAGTTGTTTCACGTATTCGTTTCTAGTGTGCACTGAAACAGCCCTGCCAGAGTTTCCCTTAAGAAACAGCCGCTCCCTCAGTTACGAAGGGAGTCCTCATGGTGCAAGCTTGTACCCTACACATTCGTTCCGGGATATCAACTATTGCGCCAATCCGAGAAGCTTTGCCTTCACCTGCGCCTAAAACGCTGAGGATCTCTCACTATGTAATCTTTATGCATTCCATATTTCGAGAACTGCATTGACCCGTGTTTTGTACCCCTTCATTCGGTTATATTGTTACCATTAAGCAAGTACGTAAACGAAAATTGCCGCATATCGCATCAACGCTCATTTTGTCCAATTTATGCATTAAATACATGTAATTATTGTACAAGTATCATCTCTTGAAAAATCCAGACCTCAACTGCACACGCGCCCCAATCACATGTGGGCCTTTTCGCCCTATTTTTTAAAGCCGAGCAGCCTAAGCCACAAAATGTCTACCGACAACAATGCATGCATATTAAGGTGACCTCGTCAATTAATAAAGACCATGAGTTATTTTGCTGTTGCTATTACAGTTGGCTATTGTAGTTCAACATTGTGCAGAGTAGACGTGTGGGTTCTCCTAGATCTTCGTTAGCGCTGATATCGGGTCTGATTGACATTAGCATAATCTTTATGTCGCTTACTAGCTCATCTACTTAATGCCAATCAAGACTTCGGCGTTATTCCACAAAACCTTAGTTAGACTCAGGACTTCATAGTTGTTTTTTATTGTTGGCGGTGCGGCTGCTCTTGCATTTACTTTTCCCAGTTAGTCTCTTTCAAGGTTATTTCGTTTTCGGCCATACTTTTTTGTTATATAGATCTACCTGATTTATATTCATTTAGCTGACTCGATAAATGTGCTACTTTTGTCTCGGCAACGGCATTCGCCATCTGGACGTCCATTAACAGCCCCGGTTGGTTAAAATGAGACACTATGAAGGGGCCCGGAGTGTCAAAGGACGAAATAGGCAGCCCCAAGTGTTCCACTAAACCCTCCCTACTTATATATATATATATATATATATATATATATATATATATATATAAGGAGCCATTTACCATCGCCGAAGCAACACTACTATATGGGTCGCATGTATGTATATATATATATATATGTATATATACTCATTTTCATCAGAAGATGTTATCTATCGATGTTCTCTCTCGCATTTTTTTCCGGCTCCATACCACTAACAATTTATGGTGTCATCACTTTTGCTTCTTCCTAATTATTACACATCCAGAGCCAAACGATCACATAGTGACACCGTTTCGTTAAATTATGTACTCGAATAATACGCACTTATACGTATTTCTGGCCTCGTTCAACTCCGTTCTTGTACGAACGTCGCCGATTGCTATCGCACCCTTTAGAAAGCGTGTTTTCCGTCTTTTTCACGCTATTCTGTTTATAATCTATCTTTTTTATACTGCTGTTGTTTTTTTGTCTATGCGCAGTGACATATGCGGTTAAAGCCACCGACTAGCAATCAACAGCATCACTGTCCACCATGAGACCAGTATCTCAACTTCCTTGTAAGAAGGTCGCATACATTCTATGGCGGCTAGTCCGCTTCTACCGTACGCAGTGCGAAAGTCGTCCCTACCGATCGAGTTTATTGTCTTTGTTGACTACCGTTCCTCTTTCGGTGCCATTCAGTATCACTCTTTGCAACCGCGGGTCGATATCTTTCGTCTCGTACCACGTGTGCATGGACACGCACGTAGACGCGTCACGAAATCATGTTGTTCTTTCGACCCTTCGCTTTCCGCCGACAATACAGTTAGATATATACGCAACGATACATACGCGCAAGCACACACGTACTAGCTCAAGAAGCTTTCTTTCCTATATCCTTCTACCGCCCCTTTGTACAAACACCCGACAACCACTTTGTATTCTATGCTTGACCTAACCAACCTGACCGTGGAAACCTAACCTAACCTAAGCTACGCTGCTTTTTCTCTTCACACCCGATCTGCATTGTCATGTATCATTATCAACTAAATAACTGCTGACTTAACTACCATAATGATCCGTGACATCAATACTGCAGTTGTTGTTATTATTATTATTACAGTCATCATCATCATCATCATCATCATCATTACACCATATGTATTCGCTGGTTACGATGTACCACTTCTTTGTCCCCATTATTTCATCTTCATCCTTTAATTACATCACACACATACATATCTTCGTCGTATCCTCGTAATCATCATCGTGTAGCACACATCAAATAGCTAAGGAAAAAGATAAATTATCAAATCCTATTCGACGCGCGTTTACCATTTGCGTCGCTACCGTATTCAGGCGCAATTTACCCATTGTATGTCCTTTCACCTAGTCCCCATTTGATACCCATCATACTGCATATAGAAATACATTATTTTACCAATTATTATATGCGTCATCATAATAATAATTGTAACAACAATATTTAATATAATCAAATTGCAATGATGATAATAATACACGAATGTTCAATAATATGTTGTTCTGTCTCACATCTATTGTTGTTATCCGTACAAGCGAAGAGCATTCGATGAATAAATTATCACTTGTTTTCTTCACCTTTTGCCATGTTGCCATTCTCCAATTTTTCAACACATACAAATCAAGTGAATATTAGCATAATTATTAATATATGATTCTTCTTTTCTAGTGGCTGTAATTACTTAGACTTAAAGAAAGAATCAAACCGTAGTCGAAAACACGTTGCGTTTTCGGTTTTCGGCAGAGCTGATTTTTGTCATTTCCTACCCCCCCCCCCCCCCCCACACGCACACACACACACACACACACACACACACACACACACACATGTTATTGTTATTGTTGTTGTTGTTGTTGTTGTTGTTGCTGCTGCTGCTACCGTTGATGATAGTTGACACAAGCTTTTTTTCCCATAAAGATGATCATTTATCATATGTGTCTATATATATCGTTTGCCATAGTGACCGAATAGTAGGAATAATAATCAGCGCCATCAAAGTATTCATCAATACTACCGTTATCGTCTTAATAATATCCACGGCTTTACAATAGGTAAAGAAGTCTATTATTTAATACCGCTCTATATTTTTTTAATATTGCCCACATAGCTATTTCTACTATACCCTCTGTTTTGTTTTATAGCACGGCGCTACTCACGGCGATGCAGTTCTTGGCGTTCCGTGACTCCTAACAATCACACATACCCGCCGTCAAGCATATAACTAATAAAGTTAAGCCACTAGAACATTTTAATGCGTTTTCGAATCAGAAAACCAGCATCACCTTCTGATCCCTCTCCAATTCAAATTATGTTTAGTTCCCGACTTAATAATAATTAACTAGTAAAAATGATCACATCACAATCACCAGCGAACAGCAACGGCACTGGCAGCTGTAGCAGACGTAAAAGTATAGTGCAGCCGATCGCGAATGAACTCACCTAATTTTCAAATAAAACTGTTTAGCCAACTGGTCCATAGATGATAAGCTAGTTAGGCCCGTCAGGCGAACAAACGAGTGCCATGTTTGGCTATTAATTTTCAGAATTATTGTCCTCCCGCGGTGCCGAAGTTCACATTGAAATGATAGCCATTATAAAACTACTGCGTGCGGTCACCGATTGAAGGAGACTAACAACGATTAGTTATTTCACAAAACGTTCCGCGGTGTGGTGCGATGCACGAAACAGTAGTACAACTGAATATACAAATGGCATGTGCACACATCCGTACGGGCACTGCTGTTCCAAACGACTAAGAGGAGAATATGGACGCACAATGGTGCCATGCATGCCCTACTATCATCAGTAAATAAAACCGCTTAATTTATTCACACGATCGAGACGCGTGAGACGAGTTTATCATTTTGCTTTCGTGGTAATAATAAGAATTTTTCCCTGCATTTGTCAAGTGAACAATTGCAGCATGCAGTTGCAGTAATAAGGTTCCCGCCCTGGATTCTGGCTGCGTTTACTCTTTCCGTCTGCTATTGTTGCCGGTGCGGCCTATGACACGCACTTGTCCCAACAAATTCGTTTTGCAACAGTTGCTTATTCGTGATATCCTCACATCGACACTCCGCCGCAATTCTAGCCATTTGTTTACCTCCGCTAGACAGTGCTGAAGCGTCCAACAGCGGCATCAGTATAATCGGTTGCCTGACTGCTCCCAAGCAGCAGTGATCGTCTCAAAACTATTCATGTAGCAATCCATTCATTTTTTTCTACATTTGTTCGCATCTATTCGTATTGCACTCTTTCCTGGAAGAACCCACAGGATTTGACGAGACGCCAACCAAAAGAATTCCGCCATTTACGTAGAGATCCACCATCATTGCATTGTGATTAGCATGAGCTTTTTCCATTTCTTTTCTAGCCCAGTATACGAGCGTGGGGAAATCGACGTTCGAAAAAGGCCGTCCACTTGTAGGGTAAACCTTCCGTTTGACATATTCCAGCGGTCATCGAAGAGACTGGTGTGGGATACCGCTTACTTCTGCATTTTAGCCCAAAGTCCACAAGGCCGGACCGTATATATGGGGTAGAATTGGTAATCAGTAAAAGCACATTCAAGTTTATCGGCGGTTCGACTCCTTGCAACCACTTCGGACTTAAATGATGAGGTTGTTGCCGAGGCGCCGGCGAAGAACTTGCACAGCAGACGAGGACGTTGAGGACGAGCGAAGAAGTCCGTCTGCTACTGTTGTCGACGGAGCTACGTAATTGTCGCTGCTGATATTTGATGTGGTTAACGTCGTTGTTGTTGTTGTTGTTGTTGTTGTTGATGATGAGGGTCTTTACGGACATGTAGGTTGCGTGCGCGCGGTCCTAAATGTGCGGAGTGTTTACAGCTACGTTTCTTTTATTAAGTTTATGATCTGCTTCTTCGTCCACACTCTTCGGTGCACAATTGCTGTTAATAGTTCTGTCATCCGGCTATTGGTCCGCACGCGGTTCACTGCCGCTGGTACTGTTATTGTGATTGGTTGATGCTCTGACTGCTACCAAAGTTGAGCACTATTATTTTTATTAGTAGCATTAATAAGACGTTCCAGCCTGCTTCTCAAATTTTCTGCAACTTCGCCGCCTGGATTAGTGGATTGCTCTTCTCCAGTAATTGCCGCCCTTCAGTTTTGTAGTCGTGACCGCACTCGTGAGCTTCGGCATAACGGTGCGTTGCGCAGAAATTGCCTCCGCACCTGAATAGACGCCACGGAAATAACAGCATTCGATTATGCAGATGTTCCATGTTGGTTATTGAACATGGAAGAAATTCTATATTACAAAGCCTCATCCCAATTGAGAGAAGTTTCAATGAACTTTTTTAAAATAAAAAAGAAGTTTAACTATTTAAACTTTTTTTAAAATTTTCCAACAAAGGCAACAAGCCTATTAAGCTCACCGGATCTCCGTATATACAAGCTCAAGGGCGAAGATTAATTGTTGATTGTTCGGAACATATCGAGTTCGACTCACCTGCAGGTGTAAGATGATGCAAGACCGGTCTTCTTGTTACATACGGCACAGCGTGGGTGTTTCTTTTTGGGGGGCGTATTAACATTCACAGGATCGCCAGGCTTTGCTACCTTAGCGGCCGCCACGTCGGTGGAAGCGTTACCACTGTGGCCTCCAACCGCTGTGGGTGCACAAGCCACCTCCTCACTCGGACGCTCGACTTTCACTTCATCCTGGATGCACGACAGAAAAATCGGCATGATTTGTATGTTCAAAGAACACACGTAAAATAGATGTCAATTGGTTGTAGTAAATGACTATACTTTCGAAGTTCAGGATTAAAAGTATGTCAACAGCGAAGTATTTTATAACAAACCTTTTTCAAGTTGACTGCAACCATTTTTCAATGTTTTTCTTGATTTTCGACTTATTATAATTAAGCTTAACAAAGCATCTAGTTAAAAAAAATTTTGACTTAGGGTCAAATTTTGCTTTAGCTATCACTACCCTGCTTCGTCGTCACCTCTAAGTAGCTAACTTTTTTTATGAAATCTACCCGACGCCTTTCAATGTTTATATATAAAGCATCAATGTATCTTTGTAGAGACATAGAAGCATCACCTGAGTCTGTGTGAATCTCAATGTTTTGCTACATAGACATGGGTAATAGTAATAATAATAATTTTATACGTAACGCCAATGACTATCGAATCGCTTTAAAAACATCACTTAAAAGCCTTTGTTCATTTACGTTCGCAGTTGAAGATAAGGAGAATCGAAATAGTTTGTAAGAATAATGACATGATAAAAATGACATATTAAAGCACCTTGGCGGAAGTGACGTCATCGAGCTGTTGTTGTTGCTGTTGTTGTTGCTGCTGCTGCTGCTGCTGCTGCTGCTGCTGTTGTTGTTGTTGTTGTTGTTGTTGCTGTTGGGCATGGTTGTTGTTGGGCGTGGGTTGGGTACCAACACCCGGGGTAGACTGGGATGGGAGCAGTTGGGCCTTGGCCGTGCCCAGGCCAGAGGAGGAGGGAGGCGGTGAACCAGCCGGGCCCGCAGGGCCCTGGCCCGCCTGCTGTTGGCTGGACCCCACCGCCGGGGGCCTCTCCACCACCGTGGGCGAATTGTCCGCAGGGGGAGGGGCGGCCGCCGCCGACGAGCAGCGACCAGTGCCGGACGACACGTCTGGAAGAATCACCGAATTCAGCAAAAATACGCAGCGATAATGCCGATGGTCGGGGTCGACTATCACGGGGATGGAAGTGATAATCAAGATTATCAGGAGAAAACAGAACAAGAATCTTGTAGGCTCTCCAACCGTTTACATATAGATTATAAAAAGCATTATTCGATTGAAACATGTCCACGGTTACTAATTGCGTATTATTAAAAACGTAGCGCACGCAAGGTGAACGAATGTTAAAGCACTGTACTTTACAAAAACTAATTCTTCGAAAGTTCCATCACCTTCATCTTTTGAATGGGCTGTTGAAAGAAGCTGATGAAAGCTTCTTCATGTTGAGTGCTAGTTCGGCCCTTCTAAAGCGAACAATGTATCTTACTCATGTTTTCTCAAGATATATATATATATATATACCAATCTTGAGAAGACATGAGTAATTAATAATATATATATATATATAGATTACCTTCTTTAGATGCATTCTCCGTAGTATCGGCTGTGCACCTGAAGAGTCCCTTGTAGGGGCTGACGAAGATGGCCTCCCCGCCCTGCGGGTTGCCAGGTGAGCCGGACGACCCAGCCGACGGGTAGAGGACTAAATTGCGCTCTACACCCGAAGCGTACGACGAGGAAGCCTCGAAGGCTCCTCCACCGTCGCCTGCTCCAGACGCCGCAGCGGCCGCACATGCGTACGAGGCCAGACTCTGAGCGGGGTTGAGCTCGTTAACATTGAGCGAGATGGTATTGTGGGCTGTGATCAGACGAGGTACGACTACCTTTCGGGGAGGCTTCGCACTGCCCACACTGGCGCCTACAAGCACCGATGACGCGGCTGCCGGTGGCATCGCACTGTAAGTGAGAAGAAACTCGCTAAAAAGCTATGCAGGACAGATATATTTTGTAGCTGTATACATGGGAGAGGCTAATGCGCTTAATGGTCAATGAATGAGTTTATGTGTATCAAGTTGCACACTTATACAGAAGCTCGCCTTCCTGCGATCAGGGACCTGTAACTTTGCACTGGAATCTAGCTATGAAATCGGAGACAAGTGCGTGTGTGTGTCGTGTTCATGCTTGTACATACTCAGAAAGGATGCTTTTTTGTAGATTGGATGCACAGCACTGTCCTCCTTGTCTGCTGATTAATGCCGGCGCAATCTGTGGTGTACTGCTATGGCCGCTGCCGCTGTTGGTACAGACGATACTGCCGTTGTCGGTGCTTGCACTGAGCTGAAGTCCATTCGGTGCAGTGCGTTTCTCTTTCAGTTGTTTTTGGAGAGCGGCCATTTTGTTCTTTGTGGCCTTGTTCTCTTCACTGCGTCGTCCGCCCATACCGTCGCCGGGGGTTTCGCTATTCTGCGACCCTACGTACATAAACCTACTGCTCACTGAGCTGATTCTTCGCCGTTCACGACTGGTCGACGGCAGGTTGGAGTCACGCTCGCGTTTCGCAGATGGCATAGGAATGATGTGGTAAGCGCCGTTGTGCGGCACGAGTACCACGGAGATCTAGTAGAGCGAAGGAAAAATAAAAACGAGCAAAAAGTGCAACATATATGCAATTAGCTTAATCTAAAATATTGGTGGACACGAAGGAGCCCAACAGAAATGGAAAATACTTATTTGGACTACTACGTTTTACTATGAACACTGTGCCGCAATGCAACGGAACATCACCGCCATCAATTAGCATGACTTTTACTCACGTAGGGATCTATACTCTCTGTACAGCTATCAGTAATACGAAAACAGTTTGAACATATAATTATCCCACCTGTTGCATGCCTCAAAGATAGACATCTGTACATTAAAGCGTTATATTACTCGAACGCATCAATTACATGCCGAGCAGACAAAGAAGACCTGTCAAAATCACTTTCAATAGTTTCATCATCTCGTTGTTATCGCTTGCGTTCGATAAGCCGATTAATTACGATTGACTGTCTGCTGCTCAACGAGTGCATTTGTATTTATCCAGGACGACGCGCAACAGGTCGTTGGGCTAACAACGGAAATGTGTCAGTACCCTACGCTTATTTTTCGGCCAACATGAATGTTCGCGATGGATCGTTATGGATTTATTGTCATTAATTAGAATTAGGTTCACTCTCTTGTTTCCGTTCTGCGTAACAAACAGATGTGCGAAAGAATAGTCGCGGTAGAGTTCATAGAATTCGGCAAAGCACGCAGGATTTGCCGAAACGTTTTGGGACGTGACCGCCGCGCGAATCATGCTAGTAAACGGCGTTCAGTAGTGTAATAAGAGGCCACTTGTAGCGCGTCAGTTGTTTAGTGGCAGGCAAAAACGCTACCGGACGTTACCAACCATTCCTTTGTGACAAATTTAGCGAAAATGTCTGTTACCAGATTTTCCACTACGCCTGCAACTCGTTATCAGGTGAAATGTTAGAACGTTTCTGTCTGATTCGCTAGTACACACCGAATAGAAAGGACGTAGTTTAGTCACGGTATGCATATTTTTTTCGTGATCTCTTCACCTTGTTCTTGCCTTATATCGTCGCAAAGCCAAACTAAGCCTGTATTGGTCAATGTGGCTATGTTGACGTTACAGGCTGCTTCATTCAATCCATGATTACCATTTTACTTTTCATTTGTTCGTTCATCCATCTCGTCTTTTCGAGTCGCTACAAGACAAACGGATATATAAAAGAATATTGCCACGGCGCCCCTTCCAGTTAGCCTCGATTTTTAGGTTCGAATAAAATTAGATAGTATTCTGATTGGATAGACAGACAACTTCGTTTTTCTCTCCTTATTTCCCTTTTTTTTAATGGCGACTGAGCACATGCACATTTCGCAAAATAATCTACTACCAATGTCAGCCGTCGTTCAAATTATCTAGCGACTATCAGTGTAAAAGTCAATTCAAGATATCGTATGCATAGCGTTCCAATAAATAAGCAATTGAGCAATAATTTCATCAATAAGCACATTTTTTTGTATTTTATATTAAGCCCATTTTCAAATGCTGCACACCACCACACAATATCGAACATTCGATAACTGATAACAGAAGTAAACCTATTAGATAAATGTTTAAGTTTCTTCATCTAAGAATTTCATCCCTACGCACGTTGCACTACGGCCTGCACACAATCTTCTAGCAAGTTTTACGAGATTCGTCCAACCAAAATGTGCAAGATACAGTCAGTTGGATTTCACTATTATATCAGATCGTTCGCAATGTATTGCTACACCAACACCAGTTAAAAAGTTATAACAAATTCGATACGTCTAGTCCTTTACCAAAAAGAGTTTAGTGTTAACGGGCCATTGGGTACATCTAAATCACATGGCTGTTAAAATAAACTCACGAACTAGTTCAGTTTTAATCTTACAAACCTGCAGGCACCGCTTCGCAACAATCAGATTCTGTCGATCCACAAAAGTACTGGCCAAACGTAGAACTAGTTTGTCATAACAAAAAATGATGATGATCTAATCACTTGTACAGTGAGTGGAAATAAATTTAGAAACTGCATGATTTAAACTAGCACATCTAAATCTGTTGTTTTTCTTTCCAGGTCATGTACAATACCGAGCACCATTCTGCATCACACGGTCGCACATCGGAAACTGATAGAACAGTAACTGTTCAAGCAAACAATGCCATGACTGAGAAGCATTAAGCAGACGACAACAGCAGCTGCTAGCAGACGACAAAACTGTTTTGCTACTTGGCGTTCCTCCTCGCGCTGCGGCTGACTGATAGCAGTTTTGTTAACGCAGCCGTAGGTAGCATCGCCAACACAAATATCAGAATTCGATCGGGCGGATTATGGCAGTCAGCCAATCCTTGCTAGTTAGTTAGCCAGTCCAGCAGACAATGCTATTGGCTCATTCGTTGCGTAGAGCTGCCACAGGCGAGCCCCGGTCTACGACCAGTGCCAACCTCAGACCAAACGTCAGGAAAAGGCACTTAACAGAACCCTATTTGGTCGAACAGGCAAATATCGATGACTGTGAGTGCGCATCTGACTGTGCCTGCATTTCAATTATAAATCATCGTGTTACATTCGAAATGCGATCATTTGCAGTGCGATTGGCTATGAGCCAAAAAGTAAAATGCGTATACACACTTTAGCAAAATTGAAAAAAAAAGGCGTTTGTGGTCGACACATGAATACTGTTTGCCGACTACCCTCCTGCCGTTCTAATAAGAGTGCAGTTTAGGAAAGAACTGATCAGGTGGCTATATGATTCTGAGGTCAGCGTCATGATAATCACTGCGCTGTAATAATAAGTACTGGGTTACTATTGTGTGTCGGACTGCTTTTGCTAATTTAAACGGTTTGTTCCATTGACTCAAGAAACCATCACAGTTATTATTTCGTGCCTTAGAATATTAGATTGCAACTTACGCAAACAAGGCTACATAGTGACCATATCACAAGAAACAAATTGGCAGTTTCCACTATAATGATACGTTGCTGCGAAACAGACACCTTGAACGGGTTATTGTACATCCATATTTTAAACAACACGATAAATACGGTCCAAGGAGAGTTCACTTGCTCAGCAATCCCTTTCCTATCTATGTATTACGCCTGTGACCAAATCGAATCTTATGCCGCTGACGCAATAGCCATTTTTACGTCGCGTCATCTAGAAGCTGCTCACTTCGACGACGACACATGTGTCTGTGTGCACTGACTTCGCCGCTTCCATGTCAAATGTACTAACAAACGGCCGTCCAATTGGAAATTGAATAATGACAACTCTCGAAAACTAATCAGCTTCCGCACGTGTTTCACACTGAATTAATTCCACTGGCGTTAACAGCCAACGGCGGAGTAGTTCAGCAAACACTCGCTCAATCGTTCCCTCTCCCTCCCTTGCCATCCGCGTATGTTTCTGACCGAGGCCATAAATGTACACACGCGTCTGTGATGTTTTCGGTCTCCGCTGCCGCGCGTTCGTCCTCCCGCTAGTCCGCACAGCAAATTGACCACGAAGCCAGAAATCAAATAATGCGACTCCTTATAATGCGTCAGCGCGCAGCGGCTATCGTTGGCGCTCATAGCGAAGGTGGTACGCACTAGAATGGTTAGGAATATAAGCGTCACCGAAGCGCAATAGAGATAGGCAAGTAAGCAAAGAAATAGGTTCTTGACGGCAACAGAAACCTCGAACAAGCCTGCGCCGATAAGACATCACGAGCAGACGCATGAAAAGATGATGATGGTCATGGCCTTTAGTGTTATGCTTGTGGCAATTTAATTCGTGTACACTGTCAGTATACAGTGTTTCATATGCAATCATAATAACATCACATAATTTTCTCGTGCGCCATTTCTACGCTAACAACGCTATTAGACAATATATTATTATCCGGCCAGCTTGTTCGGTCCCGGCTCGTAAATCATAGGTATATGCCAGAATAATATTATTAAACGCGGTCTAACGAACGACTTCACGCGTTTCCTCTGTTACGATATTTCCTATAAAACAGAAAAAATGAAACGGCGGAGGGAGGCACTGTGAAACTTCAGTGTCTCGCAATGCACTAATAATCGCCATCCGGTCCATGTATATAATAGATTAAGGAATGCTCCTTGTCTTTCGATTCGCTTTGGCCTACGTTTGGATCACGTTATACTAATGTTACTTCGACTTAGTCGCCGTTGAAGACCGTAACCAGGAACACAGGTTGAAGGAGCTCAAAAAAATGGTAGATAACGAGCATAATGCGAACTGTAACAAGGTAACTACAACTACCAGAAATTCCAATAGCGAAAGAAAAACCAAGCCAATAACAGCCGCTGCCGTCGGCGACGCTCGACTACTTCTGGCTGCTACCAACGCCAGCAGCAGCAGCTGCTGCAAAGGCAAAACTCGCGCCATTTTCATCGTTCATTTTGCCTGGCTAGCAATCGCGCGTTAACTCAAGTCTCGAAAGGTACACCAGTGGGGTGACCAGCCGTCAACTGCTTTTACTACAACTATTATCACGCTGAGGGCGTACGAAGTGTAGACACTCAATCGGGCATGTCTGGCAAATGGAATAAAGGTTTCTATTTGAAATTTCGATTAATAAAACGCCATTTACGACACATCTACGGATCTTCGTAGCTTTCAAGCAAGCATGAAACGTGTTTCCTGTGAATGGATGGAAATCTCTCGCGCAATCCCTAAAACCAATGTAAACAAATAATGTTCTGGGGATGAGAATATTTTACGTCCGATTACCAACAGCGTTATTATGAAAGACATTACTGAAGCTCTCAGCATTTGAAGATAATCACTGGCAGCAAATTGAAGAGCAGTAATACCACTTCGCAGCTAAAGTAATGAATATTAGAGTGAATGATTACCGTTAAATAAGATGACTATCAACAGCTGTTGTCTAGTATTCTTACCGCACAAAACCGCCAATATGTAGCATAGTCAATCACATAGACAGTCTATCGAACAGACGTATATTTTCGACGATATTATTGAACAAACTATTCAATAATAATCATAATGATTCGATAATGAAAATTGGCAGAAGCGTTCATTGTACTTACGTCGTTGGCAGCAAGCATCTTCGCCATCTCCGTGATGGTGTTCTTGTCATCGAGGTAAAGGGTTCGCCTGGTGTTTATTGGCCCGCCCTTCATTCCCACACTGAGGCGTACCGTACAAGAATCTTTGATGTTGTAATCCTCCAGTGTGTGGAAGTCCTTCAGTTCCTCTTCCAGGAACATCAGATTCTGCTCAGCCACTGGAATGCCTGAAATCAACATATGGAATAGAAGCTGTTACCAGATAGATGCGTTTGCAGCTGGCTAAGTGTGCTAACTTCGAGAAAACAGTTTTGCTATTTGTTATATAATATATAGCGTCAGAAATACAATTCTAATATGGATAGATGGGGATCGGTATTGCCTGACGTAAAATTCGTAAAATTTATTTGAATAGAACTATGCGGCTTTAAACGTCTTCTTCTCCTCGCTTTTCTTTTTCTGGAGGTCCATGGGATTCTTAGTAACTTCTTTGCTGTTTTGCCCCTCAAGGGATGGAGATTTGATGGTGAATTCCACTGTTTGCGATTAGTCTAGCAGCCACACCAGTTAATGTTTACAGAAGTTTGCACCTAAGCTGCCAGAATTCGGATCTGGCAGTCAACCCAAGTACTACGCCATATATGTCCTCGATCGACAATCCTCTTGGGAAGGAGCGGCGCAGCTGATCAAACGACTTGCACAATAACACTGAACATTGAAATAATGCATTGGCCCTTAGAAAGGCTTAAAGCTTTGAGGGATAAGAAAAGATATATATTGTCTTGTAAAACCAGATTGTTCTGTATTCTTGCAGCACTCAGCAGACTCATACACAAAAAAAAGACTCATCTTCTGACGATTTGGCACTCTGAATCGGCTTCGACGACAGAAGACTCGCGACAGCTCGAAGATCAAGATAGGTTATACTTCCTATCCTATCCCAGGATTCCATGGCCATCACTACACCGTACTTTTGTACATTTAATATTCGTTCGCCGACAATAACAACAAATATTCTAGCGGCACCAGAAATCGCTGTACCATGAACGGATGAATTGAGGAACTGATGATGCACCAGAGAATACAGCGCCCAAGTAGAACCGACTGAAGCCGAACGATACCCGACACACAGCGAGAACACACAGCGCCCACATGAGCATACACGTAGACACTAAACGACGCAGGCCCTATCGCATCGTTGAGTCCGCGCGGCAGCATCAGAAACCAACGATCATGATTGCTATAGTAATGACGCGTTTTCGACTAGTATCCGCAAATGTGTGCGCGTTAGTCTTCGTCTAACTCTTCAGTAGTAACTATCGTTTCCGTGTATTGGCTAAGTAATTGACTGCCTATTTGTGTGTTAGAATACATTTATATACTGCGGCTGTGTACGGCCACCAGAAGCTGTATCGTGTTGCTGACACACCCACATTCAAACAGATGCACCTTTTTATACTACTGCATCCCTAGTGCATCGATATTCTTTCTATATGCAGTACCTCGTAAAAGAACGTACGTGCGTATATGTATGTGAATGTCTTGATTGGCTGGTGTTTTTTGAGTTTCTCGATAACTAAGCAAAAAGATATTAAAGAAAACGAGGTTGACTGCCGCATCGTGTAGCTTGGCTGCGCGCTGTTTGCTCTACATATTACGTCTATTGCATGTGTTGCTTTGTCCCTCAGTCCGTCAATTAGATAGCCCAACTGTCCCTTATGTCTGTCTGCCGGCCTGCGCATGCATCTTCTATTGCCTGTTGCATCTATAGAGCAGGCAGCATATAGAGCCGCTGATTACCTACATACTACCTGGTACCTACGCAACGACGGTGTTTGTCTTTATAGTCATCTGACTGGCTGGCTGGCTGGCTGGCTGTTGTCGGGGCTGGGGACGATTTCGGATAGGAGAGACTCGTTCGCTTGTACGTCCGCCCCTCCGCGTGGCGATGGTGGGCTCCCGTCGCTGTACTGCTATTGCGCCCACTGGCAGCAGTTAGTGGTTCGGCTAGCTGCTAGTTGTTGCTGCTGGTCAGTAGCTGACCCCATAAGGCCGACAGGCCGTAAAGCCGAGCGTCACCACTGATGACAAAAACAGACCAAAGCCGACGATGCTTAACACAGCGCGAAGACATACTCGCACAGATCCAGCCCCAACATCAGTGTCAACCAGCGTCAGAAGATTACCGAGGTGGCACGATGCCGTATTACATAACGACAGATGCAGAGACACACAAACTCACTCAGATATATATATCTGTGCATATCAATAGCAAGAAATACTGCTACTGTTCTTGCTATTAGTATTGCTACTAAAGGGATGGCTGGGCAGTGTCTGCTCAAGTCTGATGGTAGCCGTGACGGCTTGAAGGCAACAACAACTACTGGACAACAAAACATGCCTACAAAGGACGCCATACCGACAGCACAACTATACGCACGACCAAACATAATTTTAGACAGCAGAGGGGACAGTAAAACGCAATACCATAGCTAGAGGTTCGCGCGATCCGCTTAGGCTCACCTTCTCGCTCCCCTGACTTTAAGCCATCGTAGAACTCAACTGCTGAAAGCAGAAAGTTTTCGCAAAGTAACAGCAGCAGCAGATGAAACTAAACTGTAACAAAAGATATATGCAGCGGTGTTCATGCGCGCAAGGAGTTGGCCAAGGACCACGAAGAACAGTGTAACAGTGACTGCAATGCAAACGCTTCATAGGATTTTCTTGTATCATGCCACACGTATGCAGATCTATTGGACGATTAGCCTAAAGGCCACCATTAGTGGGTATAGCACCGTCAACAGCGACTGTTGCGTCCACCGAGAGTGTTTAGGCTTAACGAACCAGCTGGCAAAACATCGAATGAATGTATTCTAATACTCAAAATACATGCTATAATAACCATACCTGCTGCGTATATTAGCCCAGGTAGCAGGACCACTTTAAAAGCGAAATTGGCCACGGCGGAAAATAACTTGCTGTCCAGATGGCTGTATTGCATTCCATGCAACAAGATGCGAGAAAAAAAAAAGAAAAAAGGCCCCTCGTGGCATGACACCTGCGCCCACTACAGACGGTTACTTCATCAGGACAAAGTAGAGTAGGCGCAACACACTGAAGTTTCGTAGGTGAGAAATCTAATCAAGGACAAGTTAATCGGCCGGTTGACAACCACGAAGAGTAGTACCTGTGTATTTTTTTTGTTTAATGGACAAACGTAGAATAGAAGGGAACGCCACCACACTTCAGCGAAAGGTGGCAACTTGTAGCGCAATGACGATTGGCTCATACAGTGGAGAACATGTCAAGACAAACATTGGTATTTTTTTCAGCAATTTCATTTAAAGTAGCTTTCTTATCATTGTGTACTACTTGTAGCGACAAACAATTTGCAGTTAGTACAGACTTTCAAACATTAGCAGACATTTTCAACACATATAATAGTTGTAACTATCTCGTTCGACGATCATTCCAGCTTCACTGATTACGGCCGCCATTGTCATAATGGCGGCAAAAATTAAATGAAACATTGATGCACTGCGCGTTCCTTTTTTCTATACTAATGTTTTTATGTAGTTTCAAATTTGTTTTTCGTCGTTTCCGACATCTTCACAACTAGCATTTGGGTAGAAAAGAAGTTATCAAATTGCCTTTTCCAACTAGATAGCCCTCTTTTGACTATTCGTCAATTTTACGAAAACCCCGCATCCCTTTTAATCGTTGAGACACACAAATTTCTAAGCTGCTGTCCAATTTTCACACCACGAAGACTTTTATGCTTGTTGCGTCCATTCTTTCTGCGTCCACGCGTGTTTGTCCGCGGCCTTCCTTAGATAGGTCCACGGTCTTCCTTAGATAGAGGTCATGACATTGTCAATGTTATAACGTCCGGACGACGGCTGGGCAAAGCGATCTAAGGGCGCGGCGACTATATTTCTAGCGAAGATCATTGTTGCCGGCTACCGAATACATCAACACTGGGAAATGCTGCCTATAGTCTAATGCAAAACCCCAAGTAAAAATGGACAACAAAGAGCTTCCTGACAAGTTTGTTCGTCGTAGTTCTCTCTGCCTTAGCTAAGGACACTCGGCTTTTACCAAAATAGCGGAATTGAAAGCATCGATCAAACCTGACCAAGTCACCTTTCTTTGTATGTAACACAAGTAATTATACACCACCTTAAAGCGCAGCTGATTTTTCGCTTCAAATTAAGCGAGCATGGAAAAAATGGATAAAGGAAAATTAATGCATTCAGGATCGATTTTTCAGCCTTAGCCAAGCCTGTCATATTACACTGCCGTCTAATGGTCAGCTGTTCCAACTTTTCGCTATCTTTTTCTGAGGATCATGTCACTTCGGCTTGTCTGACTTTTCTTCTGCGTGATTTCATGCCGTTGACGCAATCAGATCGTTAGAAGCTATGCTAGTGTCTCCCTACTGTTAATTTTTTCTGGCTTTCTATTGTTCTGTGTCGGTTCTGAGCCGACCTTTGCCTATACAATGAGTCATTGCCACCAAAAGCTAGAAGGCGAAAAGTGGAGGGGGAACTCGAATAAAAGCCATTTTGAGGCTAGCTAACGTTTTCGTTACCCGTCGTGATCGTCACCACTGTTAACATTGGTATCAGCAATATAATGTAAAATACGCGAGGGGTGCCTTGACACACTATCGACTCAGCTGAACGAACTCGTTCTTCCGCACCACTTAAGGGTCGTTCATCATTCAACCGACACCAGAGACCTTCGTGTTGTCTTCATCCTGAGAAGAAAACATTGGTTCTATTTCAGAGCCATTAATTGTCTAGTTGTTCTTGTTATCTGCCATTGAGGGTGTAACACATGTTATTCATCTACAGAGTAACTGCTAACTCCGATACGTCGTTTTTCTATTTGCATGATATGTGCAAAACTTCCCCTTAAGCCCCGTGTAGGCGGCTACTATATTGTTGTATATTTGTACGATAATAGACGTTTTAGTAGACAATGGAACAGAATGTCGTAGAAGTGCACACTCAAATCGGGCGATCATAAACGCCAACGTAAAAAAAAATTAAAGAATTGAAATAAGGACTGAAATAGTAGAGCACGACTTTTCCAAATTTTAACCCAAATCATTATAATCATCGAAATTCAAAGAAAACCTTAAGGCCAGTCGTGCAAGCATAAGCGTGACACAATGGCGATTAGAAAAAAAAAAAAAACTTGTTCGTGCCTTTTAGTTTGGGAT